TATGTCGCCCAACCGGCGCCGTCATCAGCGGCATCACTGCCAGTATCGTCGCATCTAAACATCTTAAAGCCTACAGAAGATTGTGCTTTGGGACGGGAAAAGCCTCTTCATATGCATCATACCCGGAAGTGCACTGTACTCACAGAGACGTGAGAAAGGCTGATAAAAGCATGCTGATAAAAGCCACTGTAACCAGCTTACCGGATCCCCGGTGCTGTTGCTTTCCGAACACACATAAGCGCCTCTGTGTGTGCAAATGGGTCTGGGAGCTTCTTGTCTACTGCAGTCTACAAAAAATCCCCAGCAGTCTTTGCTGCGTGAGTTTTTATATGCTGACACGCGCGAAATATGAGTGACGGACGATCCAGAAAAAGTCGCTGTAGCAATTAGCTTCATCCACCCAATGAGACGTCATTTTACTAAATTCGCATTTGTTCCTCTGCCGATACGCGTGTTTGCAGCAGTAATGGTAGTGGCGGTGGCGGCGTTGATCAGGCGCTTTTTAGTTAGAAAAAACGGCAACTATATTTGCATCAGTAAAGAGAACGGTAGTAATAGTAGTAGCAGAAGTAGTGGTAGTAGTACCACTATTAATAGTAGTAATGTCAACAACTGTCGTTTTAGTGGTTGTAGTGCTTTCTGTTACTTAAATCGAAGAGGGCATAGGAACTGTTGTTCCCAATCACAGCAATCCGTTAACTGTCCTGGGGCGCGCTCTGGATTTGTATCTGTCGTACTAGGACTCAAATTATAGTGCGACTTGATACTGGACACAGATGGTGCACATACTGATTTTCTGAAATGATGATGAGCTTTCATCCTCCTCAAGTGAAAGGGTGGAAACTGTGAGATAATTCCGTAATATCAGTTAATGCTGAATTTATCAAGGTATTTTAAGGTAACAGGTAGCACTGAACAGGGTAGGTGAAGGGAATAACCCTTTTATATATTGATTAAAGTGTTCTCGCTAGAGTGGAAAACCAATCTAGAGATGTTATGCAATAAAACTGTGGACAAAACGTCTCGTTGGTGCAAAAAGTCATTCGTTTGTGCTATTGGTGTCTGAAATTAACACAGGGATGTTCTAAGGACTAGAGGGGATCGACAATAAATTAAGCAAGAGGCGGAATTCTAGGCCTTAGGACTGTCGAAAAAGGGAATATTTCGCTGTTGTTTTTTGATTTTAACTCTTCAACTTACTTTAGATAAAAAGTGTTTTAATTAGTTGTATCACAGTCTAGAAGTGTTAGATAATTATGGATCGTTTTGTTATGTTCAACAATAAATAAGCTTTTTCTGGTGGTATTGTCCAGGGAATCTCTCGTATACTATTTGGTGTGCTTATTTGTTTCCTAGATTTTACAATAAAAACTTCAGTTATCGTGATTTTCCTGCACGGTAAAAAAAGCTACAGTTCAAACTTTAAAAAAATATCCTTGTTATCTTAGTGTTCTTAAGCTAGGCATGAAAGCACCTAGAGACAAGGTCTGCTTTCATTTGTAATAGAAAAGAGGGTGCAAAACTCCCGTTTCTCGTTTTTGTTCGGGCGTCTTTTCTCGTTTTCCTTGGCGGACAAAGGCGTGAATTGTTGTCAGCAATTTCTCTTGAAATCCCCAAAGCTTTAGGCCAACAGAAAGACCTCTTTCAACTTCTTTACGAACACAGTAAATTTCGAAGCTCATTTGTTACGCCTGCATCTGTTTGCGCTTTGTCCGCTAAGAAGCAAAATTTACGTAAATTCTATGTCACTGTTAGGCTCAACTTCGAGGTAACTTCATTCATGGCCTCATTTATCTTCACAACCAACGTTATTTTTATGTTTCTCATCCCTTATTAACGGGGTAGCGCCTTCCACTTGCTGCAATTTTGTTCGGATGAAACGAGACAAGGATGATTTTTGTGTAATGTAGCAGGTAATTTGCCATGATTTTGCTAAAGACTTGACAGGAGTATGCTTTTTTTACTATATTTCATCGGGATGGAATTTCCAGGTCTGGAAAAGTACGTAACGTGTTTATTTAGACTTTTCTCCAGTTTCGAGTGATATGTAACAAATACCTTTTGTAATTTATTTTGCCTGCCTGCCATGTCTGTCATTTGATATAAATTAGGTGTTTTATCTAACGTCAAAGTGTTTTATAAAGCAGAATACGAAAAACGCATACCGATCCACGTCAACGCATACATCAATTTGGCTTCAGATAAATTTCGCATTGACTACTTCGGTTGCACACGGGAATAGTTCTCCCCCCTTATTAGAGGTAGTCTTGCGCTAAATCTCACATGTGGCACCTATTCCCACATCCTAGCCGTAACGCTGACACCAACCCCAGCCCCAAACCAAACGTTAGCACCAACCTTATCCCTAACCCCTGGGATTCGGCGTAAGACCATCTGTAATGCGGGAGCACCTAGTCCCGTGTTCTAAGATTGCTCAATACGGTACATATAGTTTTGCACACTTTTTTACCTAAGAGCACACTGAAAGGGAATTTTTTGGCGTTAATCTAACTACAGGGCATTGAACAGACACAAAAAGATGAATATGAATGTTGCGCCTATAGGCCTTCTTGCCAGAACGGAATTATTGTTACAGCTCAAGAGAAGAGGGAACAGAGAGTCCACTGGCGTATTTTTTTCTTAGGTCACCAAACTGGAAGTTGTCGTGCAACAGAACTTTTTGTTTGTAAGTAGCCCAACCTCAGTACATTACTCCCCAACTGAGAGCGGAGTTCTCATCAAACCTAAAGAACGAAAACAGGGATCTTTTTCGTTACCGCAAACACTGCTTTCCATTTTGCGGCCATGTTTTGAGCAGTTATCTACCTGTTATGGTTTGAGTGTCTAAAAATAGCCCATGCGTGAAAGCACGTTTATATATATGCGGTATTTTATTACCGACAAAGACAAGGGAGAGTGGAATGGCTATTTCTGGCTTATTAGTCGTCGTCAGCCAGCCGTCTACCACTTTATATTCCCGATCGCAACCGACAGGACAACGAGCCCGTGGCGCATTGGTTGGAGGCGTTGGATTTCTAACCAACAGGTCACGGGATCGAGTCCCAAGTGTTACACACCTCGGATTTGTGTATGGCTGGCTGACGACGGCTAATAAGCCAGAAATGGCCATTCCAGTCCCCCTTGTCCTCATTGGTATTCTATTCTATTCCGAGGTCATCCTACACTTTGAGAGTAACCACCCCATCTCCCACAAGAGGAGTACTGTCTGCAGCCTGCTAAACCAAGCTAAAACACACTGCTCTGATGAAGGAAGTTGTCAAGCAGAAATGAAGTATCTTTTCAAATTATTTTCCAACAACGGGCACCCGCGCCACTTTGTACGTCATTGCATGAAACATGAGTTTAAACAGAAAGGTATTTCGAAAACATCGGCCACCCAGGCACCAAAAACACTCACCTGGCGGACCATCCCATACGCGAAAAATGTATCTGAACTTGTCGAAAGACAGCTGAAAAAACATCAGATACAAGTAGCACACCAACCTACATCCACCTTGCGTACACAGCTTATACACCCCCTTGTCCACACAACAACTGACCACAATTTTAACCAACAACAACGACACCACGAGGGGTCAGAAGGAAGCGACTGCTAAGGCTGCCCTGCTCACGACCTGTATGCCCAGCGAGAGCGCAAGCGAGTCCACCGGCAGGAAAGCAGGTGTCGTAGAATTGTTAGCGCACACCAGGCTGGGAGAGCCATTGTTTGCTGATCCTGACGCTGACAGACCTTTTCACCCACCAATAATAAGCACGTAAGCTTCAACAACTTTCCTTTCCTTACCGGAATAATTTAACGAGGGACGTATAGCACGTGCCGAAACATAGGAAACGCATATCCAAATCGGTATGTATGCAGGCACATTGAAAATTCTACCTTGATGTGTTTGTTAAGATACCAGACCAGGATTTTCGTTTCAAACTAGTTGACACACAGTGGTAGAGTGGGTTTTGACTGACTGTTTACCCATCCCCGTTGTCCTCACACATGGAAGACGCCTTTCTATTATGTACAGGACGAGGTGCCGAACCAAACAAGAGGGACTAGGCTGGACATTTCTGGCCTATAAACCGTCCTCAGACAGTTGGCTATACCCAATACAAAGTCTTAATGACCTGCGTTTCGACCCCAGCTTCTCTGGTCACTGGGCGTTTTGTAATTAAAAACCCAATTTATTACCCCACCCACAACATTTTGATTTATTTCATCACAAAGAACCCGGTTTTTCTATTTTCTACCCAGCCTAATGAGGAAAAGGTATAGGCTAAAAGTCGTCTGATGTTTTTCTTAGCGTTAAAACCGGGTAATTTCATGTTTCATATGGACCGACCATATTCTTCTATCAACTCACGGCGTTTTATTTTAGTATTCTCTAGAAAAAAAGATAGATGGATTGCCCTGGTTAAATGCAGAAAACCAGATTACTATTGACTAACATGCCGGGGAATAACTATTTTCATATGTAAGTTATGGTTGCTGACGTGTAGAAATTGCAGAAAAGAGCGAGCTATTTCTCACACAATGGCCAGATCGATTGATTTTGACGTCTTTAATTCGCCCTGTCCGAGGGTGGAAGAAATACCAGCAATAAAGCTGCTTTTCGATGTGAAGATATAAATGACACGTTTATTAACACTGATGAAAAATATTTCCGGTCTTTCCATTTCTTTAAATTCATTAAGTAAGCATCATAAATAGTTGGCTTGACAGTTCCCTCCTTATTTATTGTTATTCCTGTCCGCGAGGCCGTTAATGATGAGTAATTCTAGCACTAATATTGGGGCTAGGACCAATCGTGTAACAGTAATAGCTCTGGCAATAATGCTGGTGATAATGCTCGTAGTGGTGGCGGTGGTGTTGGAAATAGCTATTGCAAAATCAAAAATAATAGGAATAATAACAGTAAAACTTCCGATCGTATTAGTAGCGCTACTTATATTGTCAGGAGTAGTAGTGACAGTGACAGTAAAATCAGCTCGTCTCGCTTGTTCCCCCTCTTTTGCAATCTAGTTACCCGAGAGCAGGTCAGCATTTCCTGTTTACAGACTGATAAAGAGGGTTCCCAGGCGGAAGAAGCTCCAGGTACCAACTCCTCGACGCCGCCTCTCCACCCACAGGCCAAGTGCGAGGCTGCCGTTACCACTATGTCTGGCCTGGCGCCACCGGCCGCAGGGTCGGGTGGCAACATCAGCAATGGGATGTCGTTACCTTCTGACCTGCAACTCTCCACCAGCCGTGGTGACAAGGCAGATAAAACAGTAGTGTTGGCTGCATGTGATATTTCAACTGGCCACTCCTGGGGTCCTTTCCATGCAACTACTCAATGCTTACGACGACGTAGTCCCAGTCCACAGGCCGACGCCGCAGCCAAGCAGATAACAATTCAGGTATGCTGACATCTTTCTCCAGCCTGTTGACTTTTCCATTTGCCTTTCATTCTTGCAGTGCTATACATCCTTAATAGTCATGAAGTTAAAGAGCGAAAGACGAGCGACGAAAAACAAGTCAGAAATAGCCATACTAATTTTGCCGGAAATTCTTCATCCTTCTTTAGAGGTCGGCACTTGTGCGCCAACATAAAGGGCCTTTTCTTCGAATTGTCTCCTTTTTGCTCATTACGTAAATCCAAGAATTGGTTTTCGACCCAATTCAAAATCAGTTCACAAAGGGGAATGGCATTGAGTGTACATCTTTTTGGACAGAAAAACTTCTCAATAATAGACTGATGGGTATAAACGCGGAAAACGAATGTACTATGTGTTAGTTTGATTAATCTGAAAAGTCAGCATATTCCTATGCTCAAATCGTATCTCTTGGCGTATTAGATATTCTTTTTAAATAAGGTATTAGTTCAAGAGTAATACATTTTCACAATCAATAGACACGGTAAGAAAATAATCTAATAGATTGGATGTTTGACCTCTTACGTCTGATGCTTTTATAGCCGTGGGAACGGGCCTGATATGCTAGCCTATAAGACTACACTAGAGCATTGTAGAGGACATTTGCTGCCAGTTTCAACGAGGCAAACTTAGTATGCAGCGTAAGAAGTACTATTCGGTTTATTGACTTAGATCTGAGGGACTTCCTATTTTAGAGCATTCTATGGAAGCTCATATAAATTTCTGAAATTTTCAAGACTTTTTCTGTTCTTATTAGGGTAGCTGTTTCGCTACGGTGATGTGCCTTTGTTATTTCATGCCATGTTTATCTTCTGCGCAACTCCAATGCACAAGTTATGTGTACCACCTGTTTTAGACCTCTGGTGGAGAGTGCAGTATTCGCTTACAGGATGAAGACTCATGGATAACTTTGGTGTGCGAAGGTGCTGAGAGCTCTGCGGTAGTGGAAATGCCAAATATCGATATCTTCTTCGAACGTACGTTTCGACATGTAACCGAACTAGTTTGGATATTCTACAGGATTGCATGTTGTTCTCTACATAGGACTTCTATTTGTGGCTAAGTCCTCCCGCCCCAGCTGAGAACAAAGGAGGGCCGTAGTAGAAGTATCCACCAGGTTCACTGATACGCTGGTCGGTGACCGTCTGGATTGTGTCGCGCATGTTACCCGTTCATGCGTGGCAATTTCCTGCAGTGTATCTTCGTGAGTATATTGCCATCTAACGGTCAGTCAGCCGCATCTACGAATTGGGAATAAGACCACAGTTGCAACGTGGACTCCCGCATTCTACACGTCGGATATTTTTCATGCGCAGGAAGTGCATAAGAGGGAAACGGAGACTGAATTGCCGTTTCTGTCTTGTTTGTCATCGTCGTGGGCGCGTTGTTTAACCCCAGAGATTTACGTAACCGACGGCGGCCATTGTGCAAGAAAATGGCCTTCCTGATGCTCTTAAACTTAAAAACATTGTTTTTTCAGGAGTAAGTGTTAAAAAGATGAACCACTAGACTTACAAATGTGCGAAGTCCGTTCGCAGATGTGTCACAATATTTATGACATCTTAAAATTCTGAATGTCCCTTGCCTTTGTCAGTATCCCCTCGGTAGCATTTAATTTCATAGGACAGCGATGGCATCAAAAGTTAAACTTAAACACAGCAGGAAATAACAGTCCGGAGAAAGCCCATGACATTTCTAAGAACGTTCTGGAAAGCAACTGCGGCTTTGCAGACAAGTGAATAACTTACTTTATTTGCAAAAACAGGCGTGTCTATGTAGTTAGGTTAATATCACCTCTAGTTCGCATGATAATACGAATATAAATTTACAAAATTTAATTAGCTTGACAGTTCAACCGCCGTTTCCAACGATGTCCAACGTGTGCCCGCAGCACGATGGACGCAGGAACGATGGCTTGCGCGCGAGTTAGCTTATGGCGATTGTGGACTTTCGCTGCATCTGCCGCACCTTCTCAACCCTCAGCCACTTGGGTCCAGTGTCAATACAGAGTCAAGAAGACCGGAGGTTGGGATCGAGCGCAGGTGGCTGGCACGGCGTGAACCCGCGCCTAGGCGTGCCACCACGCCCCCTGGTCAGCGCACA